GTCAACGGCAGATGTAGCAGCGCTATACACCGCGGCTGTAGCTACTGCTACGGAGGGTGGCAGCAGAGGCTGCCGTAGTGGCTGCGGACGACGCACGGGTAGCCGGGGGTGAGGAGATTCACTCTACAACGGTAGTGAGCTAGACTACGGGGATTGGCATTAACTACTAGGAGTGATCGTAGGTTTGCTTAGTTCCTTAGCACTTGCACATTCATGGGATAAATTGGCAAGAGTTTCCACTTAGCAAAGTTGGAATTACAGAATTATAGAACAAGCAACAACAGAATGACTACATTACGTACCTAGCAACTCTGCAGCTAGCCTGGTCGACCGCCAGCACTGCATGGTCGACCGCCTGCCAGCGTTGCGTAGAGGAGCCGCGCCAGCACTGTAGAAGGGCGACCTGCCAACACTACAGGTCGTCTGCGTGACAACGGTGCAGTAGAACGGCTGTCCAGCATTGCCCAATAGAAGACAGTAGTGCGCACACTCGCAGGTGCGCGCAGGCGAATGGCCCGACTTTCATTGTTGTGCATCCGTCGGCTGTTGTCTGCGCCTGACGAGCCACATTGACTTCGTCATCATGACCTTGACGACGTTCACGTGCCTCCGCAGAACTCGCCAAGCAGATTACCTGGTCGACCTGGACACCACCAGCCACTTTGGTCGACCACCCAGAGCTTCTAGTCGACCATCAGGCGCCTCTAGTCAACCACCAGGGCTCCGGTTGATCACAGGAGCTCTGGTCGACCACCATGAGCTCTGGTCGACTACCAGGTGTCTCCGGTCGAGCACCACGAGCTTTGGTCGACCACAGGTGTCTCCGGTCGACCACCAGGTGCCTTTGGTCGTCCACCAGGTGCCTCTCATGGACCACAGCTCCTGTCGAGCTGCCCCATGGTCAATGGACCCCTTCCGTTGACCAGAATCCTCTGTTGATTTCGCCGAGCACCCCTCGTCGATCGTTGCTCACATGTCAGGTCGACGGACTGCTTCGTCGACCTCCCCGTCGAACTGAAACTCCTGGTTGACGGCCCACCCGTCGCCCAGCCCAGTCAGCTGCGCCCGTCGAGCACCCCTGGTCGACGGAAACCCCACAGTGACACCCTGCAGCTCGACGAACCCTATCGAGCAGCTCCCTCACTGCGAACGATCGGCTGCTTCTCCTATACATCCAACCAAGTCGTCGGCATTGCCCAAGCGAGGGCGGGGCCAGCACTCCACTCCCATTAACACTCGCTTGCCGCACTCACGCTTGGGCCTCCAACCCACACGGCAGTACTTCACGTCCTCGACGTGCACCCCTCAGACAGCACGCCGTCACCACACCAACCGTGCAAAAGGACACGACACCTACTGCTGCACATCATTGTCGCCGTCGCCGACGTCAGCCAGGCAAACTGGACCGATGGCAACAGAGCACCGGTTGAAAGCCGGAAAATGCAGCGCCTTTGTCAGGAATTTTGTCGGCTTCTCGGTGGTCGGGATGTACTTCAGCACGAACTTCCCACGCCTCACAATGTGCTGCAGCCAGGCATAGCATCGCTCCATGTGCTTGAGGTTGCCCGTGAACCCCAAGCCCTCAGCGACCGTAATTGCCGACTTGTTGTCGACACGGAGGATGGTCGGCTTCCAAGCGTCAAGCAGCTTGAATTCCGCAAGAAGGAAGCGGAGTCGGCGTCCCTCCTTGCCTGCATCCGTGAACGCCACGTACTCCGACTCGATCGATGACATTGTCGTGCACTTGATGCGTGAGCTCGACCAGGAGATAGCGGCCCCTCCGTAGACGAACACGTAGCTGCCCGTGCTCGTCCGGTTCTGCTTGTCGCCCACGTCGTTGGCGCCAAACTCCAGGGGGGTGTCGCGGGTGTCTGCGAGGTAGGCAAGGCAACGGTCAACCTCGTGCCATTGCTGGTCGCTCCTCACCGTGAGGCCACTCCCCAGCTTGCTACAGGCGTACGCGACGTCCGGCCTTGTTGTCGTCGCCGCGAACTGCAGTAAGCCAACCTTCTGCCAGTATTCCTCCTCCTCTCGCTCGTGGGCCTCCTCGTCGTCAAACGTCAACAGAGCGTAGGCGTCGACCAAGACCGGCGTCTTCGGGACTCGACCGCCCTGCTTCTCGTCGATGAAGCGCCTATGCAGCTTGTCGGCGTAGTTCTATTGGTGCAGCCATAGCTTCCTGGCCGGCCTGTCGCGCACGATCTCCAGCCGAAGGTACTTCACCATCGGCGAGATCTCGCGCAGCTTGAAGGTGGCCTCCAGCAGCTCCTTCAGCTCTTCCTAGCTCTTCTTCCAGCCAGCCCCCAGAAGCACTCCGTCGAGAGCTCTGTACCATATCAGCGGCGACTGCTTCAGCCCGTAGAGGCTCTTCAGCAGCTTACACACCCGGCCGGTCCCATCGTCGAAGTAGTCCGGCTGGTACATGTAGAGCACCACGTCGAGCTTGCCCTGCAGGAAAGCATTCTTCATGTCGAGCTACATCAGGTTGAGGTCGAGGACGGCGACGATGCTAAGGAAGATCCTCAGCATGAAGTAGCTGCTCACCGGCGAGTACGTCTCGTCGTAGTTGGCGCCGTACACCTGTGTGAAGCCCTTCACGATCCAGCCTCGCCTTCTCGCGCTCGACAGTGTCTTCGATGCGGTACTTGGTTGTCAGCACCCACTGGTTCTTCATGATGCTCATTTCACGTGGGCGTTCGACCAGCTCCCAAGTACCCATGCGGATGAGGCTGCGGATCTCCTCTTCCATGGCGGCCTTCACCGCCTCGCCCTTCCAGCTCGTCCTGCCATCCTCCTGCAGCACGTAGCCAGTGTAACACACACAGGTAGCCATCTTGTCACCGGGAGAGAATCGGCCGTTCGCGTCACAGTTCTGGATCTCACAGTCACCTGCATGGGGGGAGAGGCAGAAAGCAAGGAAGAGGGGTGGAGGGGACATGTAAGTAGGAGAAATCACAGCAGCATACAGAATAGCGCACAGAATCATATGGAGTAGCACAGAGCAGTTTCAACACATACCTTTGCACGTCCTGCCATCGTCCTGCAACACGTAGCCAATGCTACATTCTAAAGATGCCACTCCAGTAATGGTGTCCTTGTTGCACCGGCCGTTCACACCACAGTTCTGAATCTTGCAGGTGTCTGTGTGGGGGAGGGGTGGAGGAGAGAGGAGAGCAAAGGTGGAGAGAAGTCACCAAGAGGTAACTTGAGATATCTATCAGAAAAAAAAAAAACAAAAAAACAGCACACACATACATGCACACACACACACACATACACACACACACACACACACACACACACACACACACACATACACACACACACACACACACACACACACACACACACACACACACACACACACACACACACACACACACACACACACACACACACACACACACACACACACACACACACACACACACACACACACACACACACACACACACACACACACACACACACACACACACACACACACACACACACAAATTGTCACAGAATGAACTGCACACTACAAGGGCACAACGCAGCTGGCAAACGCACCAATGCCCGTTGCTGCCAAGGCGTATCCAGTCTTGCACATGCAGGTCGCAAGGTTGCCATTCTTCACACAAGTGGAATTGGCATCAGAGCCCTAGCAGTTCTTGATGACGCACACATCTGACACAAGGGGATGGCCCGGATCGAAAGAGAAGTGAGATGTCATAATAGGTCTTTAAGAACCATGTGAGCATTGGAATAAATCAACTTGCCGTGGATTCAGCACAGCAGCACATAGAAGCTCCTCAGCACAGGAGCACATACACAGAAAAGCGCACATGGAGTAGCACAGAGCAGTTACTTCACAAACCTTTGCACGTCCTCCCATCCGTCTGCAGCACAAAGCCAGTGTCACACACACAAGACGCCACTCCAGTAATGGTGTCCTTGTTGCACTTGCCGTTCACACCACAGTTCTGGATCTCGCAGGTGTCAGTGTGGGGGATGGGTGGAGGAGAGAGGAGAGCAAAGGTGGAGAGAAGTCACCAAGATGTAGCTTGAGAGAGCAATGAGAAAAGGAAAGAAAGAAACGCACACGCAGACTTTGTCACACGCACAGAGTCAAGTCACACACACAATCACAGAATGAAGTGCATGCTACAAGTGCACAACGCAGCTAGCGAACGCACCAACGCATTTGGCGGTTGCTGCCATGGTGTATCCAGTCTTGCACACGCAGGTCGCAAGGTTGCCATTCTTCACACAAGTGGAATTGGCATCAAAGCCCTGGCAGTTCTTGATGATGCACACATCTGACACAAGGGGACGGACCAGATTGAAGGAGAAAGGAGATGTCATAATAGGTCTTTGAGAACAATGAGAGCAATCAAACATGAACACACACACACACACACGCACACGCACGCACACTCACGCACACACACACACACACACGCAGACATACACTCACACACGAGCGTGTGTGTGCGCGCGCGTACACACACACAATCACACACGGGATGGAGAGGGTTGAGCTGAAAGAGGCAAAGCAAGGTGGGATAAAAATGTACGTTCGACAGAAGACTGAAACTAAGTACCAACGGAATGGGGAAGGGAATGAAGGAAGGGAAGAGGGGAGGAGGGAGAGAGAGAGTGATTGACTGTGAATTCAAGGCTAGTGGGTGAAAACCGAGAATTATTGCATGGCTAAAGGGAAAGATGATTCGTACCAACACAGGATGCCACGCCTTGAGCGTCCTTCACTCAAGTAGTACCGGCACCATAGTTCTTGATGACGCACGTATCTGAAAGGAGGCATTGAGAGAAGCAATTAGAAGAGTATGGCACGAAAGAACATAATGTCTTGTAGGCATCCACCATGTACCATGTGCCATGTACCATGTACTATGTGCCATGTGCCATGTACCATGTGCCATGTACCATGTGCCATGTGCCATGTACCATGTGCCATGTGCCATGTGGGGGAATGCAAGAAGAGCATAGAGAATGGTTCAACGCACACACCCTTGCGCCGGTGACAGCACAGCACAGCACGACACCCCCTTGAAAGATTTCTGCGGACAACACATGCACCAGTGCATGCGGGATTGAGCACGCACCAGTGCATGCAGGATTGAGCACGCATCAGTGCATGCGGGATTGAGCACGCACCAGTGCATGCAGGATTGAGCACGCAGCAGTGCATGCGGGATTGAGCACGCACCAGTGCATGCGGGATTGAGCACGCACCAGTGCATGCGGGATTGAGCACGCACCAGTGCATGGGGGATTGAGCACGCACCAGTGCATGTGGAGGCGTCAGTCTGTAGAGCAAAGCCAGCGTCGCAAACGCAATACGCCACTCCAGCAGCGTTCTTGACGCACTTGCCGTTGACGCCACACTTCTTGAGCACGCATGTGTCTGGGCGAGTGGAGAGCAGGCAGGGGGAACGTGTGGGGCGAGAGGGACACGACTAAGGGAGAGGCGCATGATCCACAACAACACTCACTTGATAGGCAAAAGTAGTCTAAATGTACCAGCGCGAAAGGCATGGCACATGGTATGGTTACGGCATTCTCAAGGCATGGCACATGGCATCTGACCGGTGCATGTGACGCCATCAGCCTGCAGCGCGAAGCCAGTACCACACACACAGGTAGCCACTCCAGCTGCGCTCTTCACACACTTAGCATTAGCCCCACATTTCTTGAGAGCACAAGTGTCTGCTAAGAGAAGGGTGGAAGGCAGAGTGAGTGGGGAGGGCAAGTGACATGTGCGTGAAGGAAGGAAGCAGGAAGCCTTTCACGCTATGTAATAACACATCAGCTCAGCACGTCCAAATTGCGTGGCTTCTCGTAATCACACGTTAGCACATAACATACGCACCAGCACATGTAGTCTTGTCAGCCTGCACCATGAAGCCAGGGTTGCACACGCAGGACGCCACTCCAGCACTGTCCTTGACGCACTTGCCGTTGATGCCACACGCCTTGAGTGCGTAAATGTCTGGGGGGAGGGGAGGCAGATTGGAGCGATTTGAGTGGAGATTAACAATAGATGAAGGGAATCACTGACACGCCTCAGTCTAAAATTATGACGCTCTAAGAGGGCTGTGATGATGAACAGCACTGGCCAGCAGCAGCACTCATCACAGCAGCACTGGCCAGCAGCAGCAGTGACTCACCAGCACAGCCGGTGGGGGTCATGGCGAATCCAACGTTGCAGACGTAGCTGGCGACGCCCCTGTCCTTCACGCACACCGCATTGGCGCCGCAGCCCCGCCGCACACATGAGTCTGGCGGATGGAGATCAGAGCGACATGAAAGAAAGGGAGGAGCCAGGAGGGCAAGGGCAGAGAGGAAATAGTGGGACGAGGACAAAAACAGGAGATGAAAAGTTAGGTGAGATGGAGCATGCACACGTGGAGCAACGAGACGTGACGTGACGTGATGTGACATGTGAGGGATCCGTCTGACAACCTGGGATGGTTCAAGACAAGAGTGGAGTAAGGCGGAGAGAATGGAGCATGGATGGGCACGGTGAATCAAAAAGAACGGCGCGAGGAGCGGTGAGAGGTGATCAATGAGCAGTGAATGGGAGGAGTGCCAAGAGTGGTGAGTCCGTTGCTCCCTTTGAGGGATTGAGGGCACGTAGACGGGCAAGGGTGCGTTTGAGGCGGTGGCAGTCATGTGATGTGAGGCGGGTGGGTGACTTACGGTCAGCGGCGGTGCTTGAAGCAGCTGTCAGCAGGCCGTGCGAATGGCGAATGGCAGCAGCCCTGGGCGCACAGGCTGAGCGCGCATGGGGGAGAGGGGCGGGGGAAGGCGGGGGGGGGGGGGGGGGGGTGGGGGGGGGGGGGGAGAGAGGGGGGAAAGGGGAAGAACGAGAATGGGATGAGAAGGGAAGGAGGCTTAAGGGGAAGGGGTGAATGGGGAAGTGGGAATGTGGGGAAGAGGGCGGAAGGGGGAAGGGGGAACGGGAGGAGGAGGGAGAGGCTGAAAGCAGATTCGAGAGCACGAGGGCGTACATGAGAGCATGAGAGCAGCCAGTGCAGCGAGCACGAGGCTCCGCATAGCCGTGCCGTGGGAATGCAAACCCATGGCAATCAACAGGTGGGGCGAGACGGGCTGGAAGGACCAGCGGCAGCAGTGCTGCCAGAGGTGATGCGCGGATGAGAAGCGGCGATGAGCCTCCGAGGGCTCACTCGTGGCGTGGCGTGTGACGAGAGGAGTGGAAGGAGAGGCGATGAGTGGAAGTGAGAGGCGATGAGTGGAAGTGAGAGGCGATGAGTGGAAGTGAGAGGCGATGAGTGGAAGTGAGAGGCGATGAGTGGAAGTGAGAGGCGATGAGTGGAAGTGAGAGGCGATGAGTGGAAGTGAGAGGCGATGAGTGGAAGTGAGAGGCGCTGACATCGGAAAAATGTCCGCCCAGTTTGGGGCGGTTGACAGTCGAGGAGGTGAAGCAGCGTGGGAGTTGATGGTCGTGTACCTAGTGCCTAGTTAACGAGGTAGTCATCTACCCAAAACTGGTGGTTCCGTCAACGGTGGTTGACAATCACATTTCGGTGAGAAGGTAGGTACAGTCGAGCGGTGGTTCACGCAGCAACCACACTTGGATTCTGCAGGTTGCGGTCGTTTTACGACAGGGTCGTCAACCACATCAGCTCAATGTGTGATGTTCGGTTGGCCACGTAGACTGTAGGAACAGCTTCGATTGTGTCAGGGAATGGTGGTACACACCATTGCGACGAACAGTTGGGAACAGTGTACGATATGGTTACCTGAGTAACAAATGTCAAATTGTAACTATATAAATTAAACGTTCCGCCCTGTACAAAGTAATTATATTTATACGTAAAAAGCGCGCATCGATATAATCACGGTTTGGACGTGTCAAATGATGTGCTTGTATGCGGCAATTATCAATACATTTTAAATCATTGCTACAAAACACAGAAACAATACTTAGAGCAATAAATTTCTAGCTGATTAAAATTGGCAAAATTAGAAGAGCTACCTTACATTATGTAAAAGCTGCATAATATCATTGACAACTTCACTAATCACAGATTGTTAACAGGAGGCCAGGGGGTTGGAACGACCCCAGAGGGGAAGAAAAACAGCTCATAGCCCTCAATCAAAATCCTAACCTTCCCAACACCCATCTCAAACCCCATGGGCTCATCGATCTTGAAGGGTTTCCTTCAGCCATGCCGCAACCACCCTCGTCTTGGCATGCACATTGTTGCGGTTGTTGGTCTCGTTGTTGTCAAGTGATGCATAGCCCTTCTTGCCCTTGTGATTCTCCAATGGCCATTCAATCTGTCAGAATGTTATCTTATGCTCTAGCCTGTAGTGGGGTGCTCTATAGCGAGTACAACCCTTCTAGGGTTTGCTATTTGTATCCCCATTCTTGCTAGTGCAACCCTCTTCTTTCTTCTAACTTTCACATGCTATCAGAGCAGGTCGATCCCCTTGGATCGATCCTGTGGGTGGGCTTACTACCTCCTAGCTTCCGCTGCAACTCCTACCACTACACTATGAGCTGCACGCCCCGTGGCGTGCGGCACTTTTTATTCCCGCCGTGCGCCTCAAGGCGCGCGGCGGTTTTCGGCCCGCCGTGCGCCCCGAGGCGCGCGGCGGTTCTCTGCCCGCTGTGCGCCCCGAGGCGCGCGGCGGGGTTCTGCCCCGTCGTTCGCCGCGTCGCCCTCTGGAGGCGCCGCGACGGGCGACGGGGACCCGTCTCGGCGCACCGAGGGCACGTGCACCGGCCCCGTCGCCCGTCCCCGTCGACCTGCGTGCGCCTCCCCGTCGCCCTTCGCGGCGGCCCCGTCGTCCCGCGCGCGGCTTCCCGTCGCCCTTCGCGGCGGCCCCGTCGACCCGCGCGCGGCTCCTCGTCACCCTTCGCGGCGGCCCCGTCGACCCGCGCGCGGCTCCTCGTCGCCCTTCGCGGCGGCCCTGTCGACCCGCGCGCCGACCCTGGGGACCCGTGCACCCGTTCCCGTCGACCCGCGCGTCGCCCTGCGGCCCCCCTCCCCGCACACCTGAGTTCGATTACCGCACATCCGAGTTCGCTTCCCGCACGCTTGTGCACGCTTCACGCACATCTGAGCTCGCTTACCGCACACGCAGGGTATAGGGGTGACGGGTATGGGGGTGATGGTTGTGGGGGTGTCGGTTGTGCGTGCCGTCCCCTTCTCGTCCTCCTCCTTCGTCTCCCACTGCTGCAGCTGTCGCTGAGGGGGGTGGATGTGTGGGAGTCTGGGGTTTAGGGTTTAAGGGGGGTGCGTGTGAGTGGAGCTAGCGGTGTAGCAGCGGGTGCGTGCCAGGGGGAGTGGGATAGTGTGGGGAAGCTGTATGGAGGTTGCCGTCGTGTCGCCAGCAGCACCTGTATTCCGGGGAGTTGCTCCGGTAGCCCAGTCGTAGCCAGCTGTGCCAGCCGCGCGTGGGTCCGTTGCTCGTCTGCCGCTACTTTAGCCGCGGGGCCAGTTACTCCAGTATTCCGGGGCGTTGTTCCGGTAGCCGCTGTGCCAGTGTGCCTCCTGTTGCCGGTGTGTCTGCAGCTTCAGCCGTCGCCTCCTATCTCCTCTCCCCTCACTCTCTCTCCTCCTCCTCACTTGCCCGTTATGACTACCACTAGCTTTGCTCATAATTGTGAACCTTAAACTATTGCTTCTTGAACTTGTGCTCAGAATGTGTGGTGACATTGTGATCCACCCTGAGCTTGTACTGCTTTGCTTGCTCTGCTGATTACACCCCACTTTGGCTATGGGGGTGTGTCAGAATGTTATGTTATGCTCTAGCCTGTAGTGGGGTGCTCTATAGCAAGTACAACCCTTCTAGGGTTTGCTATTTGTATCCCCATTCTTGCTAGTGCAACCCTCTTCTTTCTTCTAACTTTCACACAACCTGCCACCAATGAACTTGTTATTCGTTAAAAACAATGCTGCCAAGGATTAACAATATAGATAAGATCACAAGCGACTTCTTACCACGTTGCACAGATAGCCGACTGCAGGAATCTTAACTGCAAACATGTTGCACCGGGCACTGACGAATGCCTTCTTGACTGCCAGCTCAAAGCCCGCATTCGCAAAAGGTCGGCCCTGAGCAGACTAGTGCCACTCGTAGCCATACTTTGCTGCAGAGGTAAAACGATGGCAATCAGATATAGGAGCTATAGCATACCATCAAGGTGTGGAGGTTTCAACCGAACAGAATACTCACGATGTTTAAACTTCTCGACCCACTCCTTCTCATCACGCGCCTGTGTTGGAATGATGCCACCAACATTCAAGAGGAACCACTTTTCCTTGTTAATGACGCCTCCAGCACCCCACGCCCAGAGCTTGATCGGCTTGTTCATGTTCGCACGTTTGCAGCCAATCACCTTCAGCGCCCGTTCAATGCGCTTGTTGTTCCCGCCCATGAAGAGGTAGTTTTCATCTTGTGCGGTCCCCTCAGCTATGTACTTGCGCACCAAATGCGGCTGGAACTCTTCCCACAGTGGATAGAACTCCATGTCTCCTGCAGGGGCAAGAGTGATGAGCCAGGCGAAGGTTTTACCCACCATTTCCTGACAATCAACACAAAAAAGCAGACGGAAGGGGGGTTACATTGAGGCACTATACATGCTTTACACGTGATCATGGAATGTACTTTGAATAGAACAGAGGGTAGAGGGAGAGGGGACGAGGGCGGGAAGCAGGGGGGAAGGTAGGGGGCGGGATTCAAGAAACAAGAGCAGCTACGACAGCGCACGGCATAAAATACATTCCACTAAAATCATATCGAGAGTAATTATACTCACATCGAACGCATCATCGCTGCTGAGCGATGACGGAATGATCGGGTTTAAGGCACCGTCCTTACGGACGTTCTCCATTCGGACATGTGGGTCAGAAGGGTCCGGAACCGCATCCATGTCCGTGCTCGTTCCAGCGACTTCCGCGGAAAGCTGTCGCTGCATCGACTCCAGCTGCACTTTCAGACGGCCACGTTCAGCCTCCACCGTCTTGATCTTGGTCCTTGCCTCCTGCAGCTGAGCTTGAAGCACAGACACCGTGTTCTGCAGGTCACGTAGTTGCGCCTCCAGTTGTCGTGCTTCCTTGAAATGGTGCGCACCAGCAACTAAAAGACACGCACGGGGGATAACACGCACCGACACACGTATTGACAACATGGAGTTATAATTAGGGAGACTCTTAACCAACGGTATAGGGGCAGTGAACAAGTTAAGCATGCAAACAGCTATATGGAATGCTCTTGAAGATAACACGAAGGGAGGGAGGAGCCGAGTGCGGGCGGGGGGGAGAGAGGTTCGAAGAGATTCACAACGTATTCACGAAATGACCAGGGGTAAAGTGCATCGTTACCTTGCGACCGTTCACGCCTTGCAGGTGCTGCCGTTTCATTCTGATGCGACGTGGGTGTCGCCTTATCCGTCTGGCGAACCTCCGCTGCGCGCAACTACGCTGAGCGCAACTCTGCTGCCCGCGCCTCTGCTGCGCGCACCTCCAATGCGCGAAGCTCCGCGGCGCGAAGCTTCGCTGTTCGCATCTTTGATGCGCATAACTCCGCTGCGCGAACCTCCGCTTCGCGCAACTCTGCATCAGTTCCCACTTGAGCACCGACAGCATCATCCGCATCGTCGTCGTTGAGCTCGTCGTCATCGCTACAAGCCTCAATGCCGAAATCGCCGAACGGAATTGCGCCTCTCTCCTCAGCAGCCTCCATGACTGCTGTCATCATCGGACCCATAGCGTACACCCCGACAGCAGAGGCGGGTGCAGGGAAAGCTCGGGTAGCAGCCTCAGGTGCACTGCAGACTACGCCGCCAGCAAGAGGAGCGGCCTCACGAGCACTGCAACCTACACCGCCAGCGAGAGGAGCGGCCTCACGAGCACTGCAGCCTACGCCGCCAGCAAGAGGAGCGGCCTCACGAGCACTGCAGCCTCCGCCGCCAGCGAGAGGAGCAGCCTCACGTGCACTGTAGCCGACGCCGCCAGCGAGAGGAGCAGCCTCACGTGCACTGCAGCCTACGCCCCCAGCAAGAGGAGCGGCTTCGGGTGCACTGCAGGCAACGCCACCAGCGGCGTTATTGAGATCCTCAGATGCGAGAGCCAGTGTAGGCAAGACCGCGACTCCAGTATCGGCAGGGGAGGGTTCGCCGGCAGAATCAGGGGCAGCGGAGGTTGCGCCAGCGGGAGTTTTACCATTCGAAGAGTTAGCACGACCGCGCCCTGCTCCGCCACGTTTGCTCTGCCGGCCTCCCCGACGGACTGGAGGCGCTGCCTAAGCAGCTTCTTGAACACCGTGCAAGGTGTTGACAGCTCCTTTCTTGCTTGCAGCCTCCTTAGCTAGCAAATTACGCCTCTTGATCTCCTGCGTAAGAACATCATCGTCGAGCTGAGATAGAGCTGAGAGATCTAGAAGATTGAGGTTGGAAAGAGGGTGGGGTAAGGTGACCCCAGCTGCATCGGCTGTAACTCTTTTGCTGTTGCCTGCCCAAGAGAAGTTTCCCCCGCTTGCTGCCATTCTGATGTGGAGATCGATGGTTCACGATGACTTTAGAGTACCGCTTGGAGTAATTGTGATAAAACACACAGTTTTTTAAATATATTTAGCATGGTAGGGGCTTCCATGCTTTGCCTACTGTGAATGGTTCCGTACGAGCAAAACCTTCATATCCCACCTTCCCAAAGTAATATACTTAACAAAAACTCGATGTTGGCGGAAACGACAAAACTTAAAGAGTTGGAAACACGACTGTCGCGCTTCCTGATACGTACTCACATCGCAAGAGACATTGAATATAAAAAATACAAGCAGTCTTTCGGAATGTAGACCTTCCACCCTTAATAATAAAATGGGTTCGAAACTGAATGGTTTCCCTAAGCAGCTTCTGTCAAAACGTGAGCGGAGTAGCAAGTAAAGAAGTAATGCAAAAAACTAACCCCTATGAGAAAGGCCCGCACAGGACGTGAACCGCGCGATGACGCGGTCAAGCCGATCGGGTTTTTTTTTTCCTTCAAGTGCCCTACAGTCAAACCGTCTGTAACATCATGGGTCCTGGAGTCCTTGCGAAGCACAGCTGTGCAGAAGATGCGATGAGGTCCCACGTGTGCGACACGCACTGTACAAATGAATGGTCGAAAATGTTTGGAAACATCCAGATGCCTCGCAAAGTTGCTTGACGTGCTGCCAGCGCTGTGAGAGTACGACGGCTTATGCCAGCTATGCTTGCTTGCCTTGACTTTATTATGCTATTTCTAGCATAGGATAATTATATGCATGCATGAATTGCTTGATTTCCTAGGCTAGGTGCTTTCCTATATTTTATTATAGTTATAGCACCGAGCTAGGTTGCGTGCACCGAATTCTGGCTTTTCGGTTGCCACCGAATTGCCTTCTACCGAATTCGGGAAGGATCTGTTCGGGACGCTTCGCGACCCGCGGAACCTTCGCGTAACACCTGGTTACGGGGCCTTGTGTCAAGCCTATGTATAGCCTCGTGTTGTACCCATGTGATTCATTCAATTCGAATCAATTCAAACTCTCTTTTTTGAGCTCGATCCTAGATCCTCACAAGCGTATCACGTGATACATTGCATCAGGTGAAACAGCGCCTTGCTGTATCACCACGATACCCAACCCATGACTTCCGCAAAACCACACCTGCACTGGAACGATCCAGCGCGACACCGCCAGCAGCGCAGGTGCGTGACACAGTGAGGTTTGATGTCTGTACACCCGTTGCATTTGTCGGTCGCGTGAGGCCACCGTCCTTTCAACGACAATGACTCAATAACGGAGTGTTGCGATGTAAACGCTGGGGAAAGTTGTGCTAATAAATATTTACAAACAAACCCATGAAGGGCTTACCCTTCATGGCAAATGTTGTTGACAAGGCATTTGTCAACGAGACCAAGGATTGGAGAGTCACCATGCAAACCTATTAACCAGCCACTTGTCTGCGTTTTTGTCTTGCCGCACCAACTGAACCGCTCGCTTGATACTATTAATACTAATCACTCGATACCTCAGCTAAGAGGACTCCAAGTGCAAGACCTTGCACTTGGTAGCTGCATCAACCCTGGCCTGCTCCCTGTAGTACTTGATTAACGCATAGTTCTTTGTTGTGCCCCAAACGTTTGCATGAAACAACAGCAGTGTCTTCGCAAACCACTCTTCGTCCCCGTCAGAGCCCTCACCCTTTACCGCCACATCAGAATACCATTGCCGACCGTGATGCATGGGCAGGGCGCGGATGCGATGAGGCAGGCGGCTATACTGTGCATCAACCGCGGCTGGCATGGCGAGTTCCCAATGGACCTGCAATGGTACAACAACTGGAAAGTGTCAGATTGTTAATGCTAAACGTGGTTTGCTACGACAGTGTTGGATGGTGTACGTACATGTACTTCTTTTATTTCTTCCCCGTTGCCATCGCAGTCAGGTGCCCTATCCAAGGCCGAACGCAAGTGCTTCAAGTCCTCGCCAATTATGGCCTGCAACGGGCCATCACGCTTCGCGTCCGGTACCTGAGGGTACGGGGTTGCGTTATCCGTGTCGGGCACGTGTAATGTCCAACACCTCTTGGACATAACTCGCTCGCCTGTCCGTTGGGCCTGCACACAATGCAACGCTTGGTCACTCCGTAATGCATATGCAATGAGGGATCTACACGTGATAGTAAACTAAAGATTCAACTATAACATACCTTCACCATGGCAGTGTCATACTTCTTCTTCTCGAGCTGTGGAGCGATGAATTGGAGACGAAGACGCGCTTCCTTGCTGCCCACGATCTGGCTATTGACAGACCTTTTATTGGACGCCGTGTAAGAGATTTTATGTACTCTATGTGGAGGTGCTCATACAGCTGCGCCGAATAGTGCTCGGGCAACCCCGACCTACGAATAGAGTCAATGTAGTGACTTATGAGGTGCATTTTATGAAGTTCCCGTCCGAAGTGTGTGGGAAGGCGGTCTTGAAGTTGTGTAACATCCTGCGTCAAGGTAAGATGTGTAGCCATTAGTGTTGGATATATCAGCAAATGTTGATAGCAAAGTGCACTATGCAACTCACATGTGTGCCTTCGTCTTGAACTCAATGAGAGTGGTCTCGGTGTGCTCCGATGTCCGCACGCACTCGAGATACCACTCGATGTACGAGACGAGTGCGTCCATCTGCTCCTGGGTGATAAATCCCGTCACAATGAGAGGAAGTATCTGCATGACAGAACGGTGCTCATAGGCCTGGTAGTTTGCCCCCTTTTCGAAGTACTGGCTTGTGGGCAACCGCATGTTCCCCCCCTTTATGTTCTTCTTGTAGTACCTAAGAATTTTGTCTAGTTTCTTCCTATCTGCCAGCATCTTCACATGCACTCTAATGAAGTCTACAATGTGCTAAAAAATGCTTAAATCCGTTTGGTGCATCACATCGGGCAGCACCGCCAGGTACGGGTTCAGAATCGTGTCACACTCCCACCTCCAACCGCTAAGGAAGCTCTGCACAAGTCAAAACCAGCACGATGGTCTTTGTAAGATTAGGGCATATAGGTGTGGAGCAGCCCCCATAAGCAACAACTATAACGATCTATACCTGCACTGGGTGTGTGGACAATGTCGCGTCTGCATCGTGTGCGACCCGGCCCTCCAAAATGTCCCGCAAAATGGTATCTTGCTCGCACGGTGTTCGAGCGTCGATACGGTCCTGCAGCACTGCCAAATGTTTCTTATCGACCTTGCATATCGAACAAGGGAACATGGTTCCCAACGACTTCGTGCATGTGATCTTGCACAACTCTGGGTAGTCCGACACATAGGCATACAAATGGGGCCACACGTTGATGCTCTCCCCAGCTGCGTTCTTCATTGCGATGCCGGTGTAGGAATCCGTCTTGAGAGACTGCAGCACCTCTCTCATGATGTAGTTGTGTACTTGCATCTTGTCCACCATGTTGTACTCGACAGGAAACTCTGGGAGAAGCGCCAGAAGCACGTGGCCATAGGGTTGCCACCTGTCGTCCTTATCAATGTTTCCCAGTGTGAGATACATGGGATGCCCTTTCGCCTTCCCTCTATGATCCATATGCGTTTCATCGCTCGCAAGGATCAAAGCAGCCACAACTCCGTCCGGATCCTCCGCCCTTACCAAAGTTTGCAACCTCTCCCACCAAAGCCCAGCTTCTGGTGTGCTAAACACCCTCACGTTTCCAACGTATTGCGGATCGGCATGAAACACCATCTTTGCGGATAGCTTAGGGTGCTTCAACATGTCGTGCAAGGCAACCAACGGATCACAAAACCAATATTCCAGCCATGCTTTATTTCTTGATCGGATGGTCTTCCGTTGCCACCCTCGGTGGCCATCTGTCGCCTTGGACTCTGCGTACGCTTGAACATAGCGGTAGGTCTTCCAATCTTGAATTTCAAGAATGGTCTTGCGCAAGATTTCCAGCAAGGCATTGACCTGGCTGATTGAGAGTCGGCACGGGAGTATCCAATGAGCAAGAGCATCTTTCAGGTTGAACCTGGGTGGCTCTTCCTCCGCCGCCGATGAGGTACCTGCTTGAGCTGCTGCACACTCCTCTTCAATAGCACATGAGGCCCCTGCATTACTAGTCGCATCGTCCTCTTGTTCAAAAGGCAGCACACTATCTTCTGAGTCAGTGGACGAGCTAGTATCACTAGTAAAGTGTGCATCATGATCACATGGCATGTCAGGTGCATCATTACACACATCAGCAGCCGCACTCGATCCTACAAAGGGCTGAACAGGCTCTTGCTGGAGTAATGCACGGGGAATGGGGTTAGGAGGTATGTAGCTCGCTCTTGCACGCTTTGGGGCCTGGAGCTGGTCGCTGCTACTAATGAGGTTGGCAGGGCAAGCATGCTCTGCATGTGACGACCCAGCCCCGAGCGTGTCTCGAAGGAACAAAGGCGGCATCTTGGGCAGAGGAATGACATCTGCAAAGCAAGCCGTAAGACAGAGAGCATGGGAGGAGAGGAGAAGGGTGAAACAGAGAAGATGAGCACAAGAATAGAGCACCAGGCTGCAAGGCATGGAGACGTGCATAGGAGGAGTGGAGAAGTGTGGAAACTCAGAATAAAAGGGACAACAGCTGCCAGGAGCAGGCGGAGCACAGAGAGGACGAGCGTACTAGAGAGCGAAGGCGCGCGGGAGGAGTGAACCAGAGGGGAGTGAGAGAGATCGCGCACGTGAGGAGTGAACCAGAGGAGAACGAGAGAGAACGCGCACTTGAGAAGAGGAGCAGAGGGGGATGCAAGTGTTTGCGCACAAGAGAGGAGAGAAACATGGGGGAATGAGCCAGAAGGCGCGCCGGCCAAGAGGAGCAGAAAGGAGTGCGACTGTAGGCGCACGTGAAGAGATGATCAGCGAGGGAAAAGAGAAAAAGCGCAAGGGAGGAGAGGAGCACAGAGGGGACGAGCGTACGGGAAAGAAAAGGCGCACGGGTAGAGAGAAACATAGGGGAATGAGAGCGAAGGCGCACGGGAGGAGAGAAACAGAGGG